TTGGTGGGCGGATGATGGACAAAATCGGAAGGAAGCGGTGCATTGCCATCTCTGGGATTGTCATGGCTGTAAGTCAGGCAGGTTTAGGAGTGTACTCCTTTTGTGAGGCAACCCCTGGCTTGGAACACTTCGTGGTTCAGTAAGTATGCTAGAACTCCAAGATTTTAGAGTATTTTTGGCAGCTTCCATGACTAACCCTCAGACAGCAGACGGTTCCAGGCCATCCTGCAGCAAAGTTGGGATTTTTGGGGGGCAGCACATTTCAGTCTGACCAAATGTCACTAAAATACACCCAGATTGAGAAGGCCTAAGTTGGGAAAAGTCTGGGAAGGGTGAATTATTTTGCTTTCAAAAATCTCCAATGGTAATCCTATGCCAAGAATTCCTGAAAGAATGCCACCCAGCGAGTTATTTTTTATTTTTGAGACAAATTTTCTGCAGGATTGTGTAGAAAAATGTCAGACTTTTTCTTGACTTGGGCTGTTTGGTTCATAAATCAAATTTGTCAATTTTCAGTGCTCATGCTGGGCACAAGATTTTTTGAAAATATCCCCACTTTGCTGCAAATGGGTTGAATTCCATATATACTTGTGACTCAATTTTATTTCAAGTTGAACCTTGATAACTAAAGCCTCCTCAAATCAATTACAGCATACTTCCCTGTGTCAAATTCTTTTAACCCTTGTGAGGCAAAGTTGGGATATTTTTGAAAAATTTTGTGCCACTGCTGGGCACTGGGAATAAAAAAAAACCCTACTAATTTTTACCAAGGGCTAAGTTGGGAAAAAGTCCAAGATTTATTTCTAATCCTGCTGAAATTTTCAAATGAAAATAAAAAATACCTGGCTGGGTTGCGTTTTTTCCTGCATTCCTGGTACTGTATATGATTTGCATGGGAAAATCTTAGACAATAGAAAATTTGCCTCCCGGATTTTTCCCAACTTAGTCCTCCTCAACCTGGGCACATTCCAGTAACCTTGGCGGGTCAAACTGAAATGCGCTGCCCCCTGGAAAAATCCCAACTCCACTGCCCACTGAGAAAGAACCCCTCCGCTGTCCAAGGGTTAAAAAGTCCCTATTTGAATTTTCTTAGAAACCATACATCAAGAAACTCTCAAACTTGAATGCTTTCCCCTTTCAAGCCTACTCCATATCTCAAATTTTCTGGAGACTTTTTGGATATTAATCTACTGGTACAGAAAAAAGAAAAACAAATATTTTTTTATGCATTTTGAAAGAAAGCTATTTGAAGCCCAGAATATCCTCAATTACAATGCCTTTTAATTTTTTCTATCCATTCTAAAAAATGCTTATTTCCTCAGCCCAAAATTTCCCAAACACGAATTTTCTGGTCCCTTGAATTTTGACTTGAAAAGGTTCACTTGTAATTAGGATTCTCACTCATGAGTGAATCGTTTACCAATGAGTGTAAAGCAGTATAAAAGTCACATTCATTTTTGGTCGCATCTTGAGCACATTGTGTTCCTCGTAATTGTATTTGCAATGTTTTGCGAATTAAAAAAGAAAAATATCTGCAGTTACATATTCTTCAGAATCTCGGGAGTTTATCAATATCCGTCATATTCTCAACTTTCCAGCGTACTTTTGTGAAATACTTTCAAACAGAAATGAACGTTTATACTCGAGCATCCATGAAGGGAATATGGAAAATGCATTTTCCCTCTCTTCTTTAGAATTGCAGTTTAGGGAACCAATTGCATCTGATTAATCAAGCATAAACCATGTCTTCAAATCTGGGATAGTTATTTGGGCTTGTGTTCCCAAACCTTATTGGGCTTATGGGGACTGGCAAATTTCCATGAAATTGTTAGCTTACCAATAGCTTTTCACAAAATTTTCTGCACACTGGCAAAGTTTCATACATAAGTTTCATATGCAGACTCAGAAAAGTTTTGAGTCTGCAACACTTCATGGCAGGTATATTCTAAAATTTTCTGCTTTTTTGCAAAGTTGAGAACCAATGAAGCAGTTGAGTTAAGTGAAATGTCTTCAAAAATTATGAAGGTGCTGGGCTTGAAGAAAGCTTGGAAGAATGCAAAAGTTAATTAATTAATTTCTTAAGGTGAAAATGTGTCCAAACTGTTAAGAGAAAAGCCAACATTCATTTTTCATGAGATAATTTTAACTGTCGTTGTCTTGCTGAAATTTCAGAAGAAAATACTGTAGTATCCTTCGTATAGCTACTTCTGATTTATCATGCTGGAGAAAATTTCCCACGGACTGGCAAAAAACTTCTGCAGACCAGCGCTGGTCCATGGACCACAGGTTGAGGAACACTGATGTATGCAATTTTGCTTTGATTATTCAAATTTAGGAAATGTGAAGTTCAAAATATTGTTCATAATTTCAATTTCTATTACTTGTGGTTGACGGAAAATTATCTCAATTCTTGAATTGCTGTTGCCTGCAAGCTTTTCCCAAAGCAACAGTCTGTTGTGCAAATTGTAGGATAATCATCTGAAGCACCAGCATATGACTCTATATTGTAATTGAGAAGAAGGCACTTAATTTTTTTTTAGATGCAGTATAATTTTTCTTGAATAAAGTTTTGAAAATTTTGAGAAAAATATTTTATGCTATGCAGATGGTTTCTAGACTATGGACACTTCAAATGGTGTGTTTTTCTTCTTATTCTCATGAATACGCAGGTACAATTGGATGCCAGTGGCTCTTCTAACTATCACTCAAGTAGGATTCAATTTTTGCATGGCCACTCTCGTATTCGTTTTGGTCGGTGAAATCATACCTGTGCAAATCAAAAACTACGTGAGTGGATTCTTAAACGCGGCCATTGAGTGCACGAATTCTGCAGCCCTGGAAAGTTTCCATTACATGGTCATGGATTTGGGGATGCATGGAACATTGTGGGTTTATTCTGGAATGTGTTTATTCGTTGTTGTGTTCCTCAACCTGACTCTGACTGAGACCAGTGGAAAGACGCTCAGAGAAATAGAACGAAAGATGACCAATCTCAAACCACTGCCAATCCCGGCTGAGAATAAATTCGCGAAATACTGAATTTCATTCATCGCGGATTCTCGTAATATTTATTGGACGTTGTTCGCGCATCGTTTTTTTTTTAAATATGATTTTCAGTTTTCGGGCAATGTGTCAAAGTGTATTCTTGCGAACTTGATGGATTTAAGTTGCTTAGCGAATAGAACGATGAAGTCAACAAAATATGTTGCTGGACTTTTTTTTCTGGAACATTTAATGCCAAGTGAAGTTCCATTCGCTTAGATTGGCTCAATTTTTATAATTTGCCCATGCTGCCATTAAATTCATTGCAAATAGCTTGAATAGTCTATCGTCTTTTGTTTCTTTCATTATCGATTGCAACTTCTGAAAGATTAATGATAATTAACATAGTATGTGTATATTTAGATATTTAGGAAGCATGTCAAAAATTTTGTAGAATGCTAAAAAAACGAAAAATTGCCGTGCTTGCTCTTGCTGTCTTGAGTAAACGAGCATTTTAAATGTAGTGCAATTATCGATATGGTACTTGATGACTTTTATCAAGTACCATTTTTTCCCCAAATGCGAAATTTTTCCCAGATATGCGAAAGGTCATTGTGAGTGTAGAGGTTGCCCATTTTCATTTCCATCATCTCTCTTGGTGGAATACCGTAGTTGAAATCATCATTCATCAACTTGGACAATTGTGAGCCAACACGTTTAAATGAAAAATTGGTCTGATTTTATTTGATTGAAAATCTTTTATTGATAACCTCTGCGATGAACTACCTCTGAAGAGAGTGTCTTTATTTTTTATCTCTACAGAATGCGGATGCATGAAATCATATGTGCTGTACAAGTATTTTAGGACCTTTTTTCGTACTTGATTTCTATTTGTTTATTTTTCGCTGAAGAAATTACGTAATGTATTAGGATTTCGAATAAACTTCATGAAGCGCAATCATTTGAGGACGACCGAAAATATCAACGTTGTTACGCAGCCTCATGATCGACCATAATGAGAAGAAAGTATTTCAGAGTCATGTGCCACACCAGTTTCCAATGCAGCATCACGATTATTTTTGACACTAAAAATGTAATCTTTCACCAATTTTGTTTACAAATTCTATATCCATAGGATACATGGATCATCGTCTCTGATCAAAAGTTCATTTTGAATCGAACATCCTTTCACTTGGCTACATCCTTCACCAGGAGATACTCTATTCTTGTGTTTTTAAAGTGAAGTGTGGATTTTCATAAATTTTTAGCGAATTACTTACTTCCTCAAAGTGTTTATATACGGGGGATAATTCTCGACCCCGTGCGCCATTTTAGCAATAATTCATGAAGTGGGCACTTTTTTGACTCACTTCATCTGTTAAAACACGTGTTTTCATTTTATTACATTTTTCAAGCCCGAAATTAATGTGCACTCTTCGATTCTTGTGTAATGAAATATCCTATAAAAATCGCCATCAATGATTATTTGGAATTTTCCAAACGATGGCGAATCACATCAGCGAAATCAAGACTTCGGTTCAGCAAAGTTGAAACAGCATTAGAGAAAAAATAGAAAATAAAACGGCAATGCTCGGGGAAAATTTTACGGGATTAAAAAAAAATTCCCCGTTTTCATAAAGGTTTCAAGTGACTCGAATATTCATGAAAAAAAACTGCTGACGATTTGGTGACCATCAGTAGAAGCATATATACGAATACCGTGCTGAAGAATGGATGCTAAAAATAACGATCGCCAATCATTTTGGTTCGTGCAGTTGAACTAAAGAGGAAATCTGCCAATTTAAAGAGTATCTGACGACGAATGTAATTTCATTTTTCAAGTTTCAATATTTCTCTGCTTCTCACTCAACGTACATGTAATACAAAGTCTTTCATTTTTGACCTATCGTTTGAAAGAAGTGCAGCCTACAGTATATAAGCACACAGANATTTTATTACATTTTTCAAGCCCGAAATTAATGTGCACTCTTCGATTCTTGTGTAATGAAATATCCTATAAAAATCGCCATCAATGATTATTTGGAATTTTCCAAACGATGGCGAATCACATCAGCGAAATCAAGACTTCGGTTCAGCAAAGTTGAAACAGCATTAGAGAAAAATAAATAAATAAAACGGCAATGCCCGGGGAAAATTTTACGGGATTAAAAAAAATTTTCCCCGTTTTCATAAAGGTTTCAAGTGACTCGAATATTCATGAAAAAAAAAAAAACTGCTGACGATTTGGTGACCATCAGCAGAAGCATATATACGAATACCGTGCTAAAGAATGGATGCTAAAAATAACGATCGCCAATCTTTTTGGTTCGTGCAGTTGAACTTAAGTGGAAATCTGCCAATTTAAAGAGTATCTGACGATGAATGTAATCGCATTTTTCAAGTTTCAATATTTCTCTGCTTCTCACTCAACGTACATGTAATACAAAGTCTTTCATTTTTGACGTATTGTTTGAAAGAAGTGCAGCCTACAGTATATAAGCACACAGAAAAAGAAGCATGCGTTAACTTGACTTAAATGACGCTTACATTACAAAAGAGAGTTAATTTCAGTCGAACCCCTTCAAGTCGAACTTGTACAAAGGACTATAGCAAAACAATAGAGCGAGGTAGGCTTTAATTTAGTGAAACAGGTATTTTTGGTGGAGAAAAGAAAGAACAATTTAAAGAAATTCTCATCAGTGATATGCTGAGCCTTGAGTAACTTCTTTGAAGAATTGGCAGGATGCGGAAGTTGAAGGCAAGCTGGGTTTATCTGACCAATTAATCCCTCACTTCCTTTCAAAATGCATCTTTACATTTTTACTGCTTTTCTCTCTGCTGTCTCTACAAAGCAATAGCCAAAATGCCTCCAGAAAAGTTAAGTTTTGGAGGTTGGGGGGAGAAAGCCTTCTACTTAGTGCAGTTTATGTTGCACTGCTTATAGAGGAACTCTGAAAGGGACTTGAAAAATATTTGACAGGTGGTATTCATCTTGAAAAGAGGGTTGAGCTATTTTTAGAGGCTCAGCTGTCTGTATTTTGGTTTCCTGCGTTCTTCATCACATAAAATATTTTGCTTCTGCTTCTCGCCAATTCTTTCCGGAAAAAATAAGTCGCTTTCTTATTTTTGTTAATGAATGTTGACATTTTTCATTCCAGGTTTAATGGTCTGAAAAAAAAAACTACTAACGCTTCTCACCATAATGGGGGTCGAGCAGGCATCATCAAGCATCGAGGATGAGTTGAAGAAGCCTGATATCCATAATCCCTCCCTTTTGCGGCAGGTGAGTTCATATGCGAAGATGATCAATTTCACGAATATTTTCAGCTGTATCTGCTTGTTTTAACAATCTTAGATTGAATGCGCATTTTTCGGAATGACGACTGGACTCATGTTTGGCTGGTGCATAGGTTACGTGTCTGTGGGACTCGATTCCCTGAGGCTTGCGGGAGAAGCAGAACAGGCTCCTTTTCTGATCACTGACGCTCAAGTGGGAACTTTCGGTGTGTGATCCGACGAATTTGAATAGGATTTCAATCGTTTTGATTCTTTCATTTATTTTTTTAAACTTAATCTTTCCCTAAAATTTAAAGCATGCATTTTTTTATTGATCGAACTGTTTAACTCTAAAAAATAGCAAATGACGAGTTCGCCGTCTGTCTAAACTTCAAAGTGAAGATCAACTGATTTCACAGCATTTTGCTTCGACTGAATTCATCCAAGTGGACGTGAAGAAGATCAATGATCAACACTTGATTAATTATAGTATAATCTTAATTTAATTCCTATTGGAGCAGGTTTTTTCTCCCACCTCGTTGCCAAGGAAGTTTCTTGTTTGTTGACTTGTCTATTTTAGCGCTTCATTTTCTTTCCAGAAGCATAAGGAGTAAGTCTGAGAAAAAGATCAGTATTCGAGGGAGCACTGAGCTGTTCATCTGTCTATATAGTGCCAAAAAGGAAATAAATATTGTTCGAATTGATGTAGTCTTTGACTTTGAATCCACCAGAGCAGCATGTAGAACCATATCATTAATTTTTGGCGCTGAAAAGATGTGAAAATCCGTCAACGCCGATGCTTTCTGACTAAAGAAAAGTTTTGAAAGAGTAATGCGAGGGTTCTAATAAACGTCCTCAGAATAAAAATTGAAATGGCATCCGATCGAGCTGAAGAACATTTATCGTTTAGAAAAAACAATCTTTGGCACAAAAAATATTTAGCCGCATGCTTGCCGTAACTTTCAGAATTGTTTTGGAAAAGTCACTCTGGCGGCTTTCTGCTCTTCGCAAAAAAATGAAGTGCCGATCATCAAGAAATATTTTTGGTACACCCCAGCTTTCCCTTCAGAATTTTAGGAATTGAAATGACCTTAATTCCAAGGATTGGCGCCATTATTTGACTATTAATTCCGCCGTTTTCATATAGTGCCGCCACTTGGGATGAGAATGTGGCGGCTGTGATTTAAAATGACGGAATAATGATTGAAGACCTGGATGCAACACTTGGAATAAATTCCATGTCAATTTCAAGAATTATGAAAGAAAACATCACGGGCAACATCAAAAATCTGCGTAATGAGTTCTTGACATTATGAAAGAAGAGCAGAAAGCTGCTGCAGCGTGAATTTTGGAAACAGTTTCTGAAAAATATGTAAACGAGGACTGAATTTCATTTCTTCCAATGCTTTTTCCCCCTGAAAAAATGAGTCTTTTTTTAACCTGAATCATACGCCTTTCCAATTTTGACCACGATACGTTTTTTAGACGCCTCGTGTAAACGAGTACAAGGCAGCCAAATTAATCTTCCATTGGCAACGGGAATATCCGTCATATATATACAGTAATATCTAATTATCATTTCAAATTTGCAGGAAGTTTCATGAACCTAGCTGGGATAGCTGGAGCAGTTTTATCAGGTCCAGCGACTCACAGATTTGGCAGGAAATGGCCATCGCTCCTGGGA